TATCCCGTGCATGGGCCAAAGATATAGATTGAATTTTGAATTCCTTTTTGGCCAATTTAGAGTACATTTGGACCCCAATCGCGTTCAAATGTATGACCGACCCCCACTAAATTTGAAAGGTCGATCCACCCATGCTCATCGTTCAACCCCTGGGACTCCATAGAGGTCTCTCATACAAAAATTGCAAGATTTTTTTTTACTTTTTTCACTAGATCTCTAAAACCGCTAGACCTACCTTCATGTAAATTTGATCAGTTCTTCATCTTGTTAATACAAGTAAAATGTTTTTTCAATTATTCAAATCGGACGCTCCTTTCTCTTAAAAACTGAGTTACCGTTTTGGCACTTTTTGCCCCATATCTTCGGAACGGCTAGACCTGGCTTTGCCAAAAACTAATCAGCACGTCTCATTATCAATACGAATCGAATGTTTCTTGAATTATTCAAATCGCTTCATCCGTGTTCCCGAAATCGTCGACGAAAATTTGTATCCGCACACACGAACACACACGCACACACACATACATCCATTTTTTCTAAGATATGCCAAAATGTTCAGAAGCTTCTAAAACGTAAAGATATATAAAAATTTTCATTTTCGAGTTTTTTTTTTGCGAATACTATAACTTGCCCTACGGGAAGTTAGAAAAAGTCTTAAAGAATAATTTATGAGTTTTGAATAGTTTTATTTACATATATTGTGATTAAATCAAGTTTATAAAATATAAATTGCCGAATTTTGTCATGTTGAGGTACCAAAAATGATGCAATTTTTGTATATATATATATATATATATATATATATATATATATATATATATATAGAGTTTATTTGTATTGCTGATATTATTTAATTTTTATTTTTCTGAAATAAAAGCCTTCTTTTTCCAAGCAAATATTTAATTTTTAATTTTTTAGTATTTTTTTAGTATTTTTTTTGTTTGTTTTGGGTTTGTGCTCTTCTTCAGGAAAAGTTAAAAATAATCAAAAATATTTTTTATAAATTTATACATTTTTGAATAAATTATTTGGAAATTGATTTTTATTTTACAATTGAAATATTGAAAAGAACAATATTTCGAATTAATCTACCCTAAAAATTTAATTATACATTCTATAAAATTTATAATTTATCATACTTATAAGCTACAGTTATATATGTGCATTGACTTCAATTTTTAGATGTTCAATGTACACGCAACTATAACTCAAAGTATCATAAATTACATTTTTTAACGAATATACTCGTATAATTCAATTTTTAGTGAAGTACTTTCGTCGGAGATTTATTTCATCACGTTATATTATACGACCTCAAATATTTTGTGCTAATCTAACTCGCAATTGGCTTACCCGCAGATTAGTGGCTAGAGCTTTCAATCAGAAGGATAGTCGCTTCGGACAGACTTATGTCAAGCAGCAGTGACATTAGTTTTCAGCTGGAAATATAGATAGCAATATGTTTTCAAGTGTATATAACATTTATCCAATGTTGCTGTATCAGTAAAATGTAATCAGTATCAGAGTTATTCTAGTAATAAATTATTCATGAAAAGATAGGTCAACCGTTGCCTTGCTTTCTAAAGCTGAGATATTAAGTTGTCATTGCAACAGTCTTATAGGACTATTTTATGATAGTTACGAGTAGTTCAGATTTTTTTTTTGTATATTTTAACAATATATAAGAAATCTAGATAGAACTAGCTGTAAGTAGCGTTTTGCCTTAAGGCAAGTTGCGTGAACTTACCGATACGTATACATAATCAAATTAATCAATAAGAATTGACGTTCTGCAAATTAGGTAAAATGTTTAACCGTCGATTTTGGAAATAAAATATTCGCTTTTACTGAACAAATAATGAATACGATTTGCAATTAATTTTATGTTTACTCGAAGCTTCAAGTCATTTTGAATAGAACGAAAACAAATTTTGCAAAAGTATGTGAGTCTGAGTTTGTTTTACTTTGTCATTTTAACCATTAATTAATGACCAATGATCACCTTTATTCATTTTAATGAATTTTCCTTTCCAAACTACTGCTTCCATTCTTCCTGGTCCTGTGCATTGGCTTTCAGTTCTCTGTATTTCCTCTTCTCGCGTAAGTCATCAACCACCTGCATTTTTCTTCCCATTCCTTTCGACTACATCGTGCAGAAGGAACTTTTTTGCAGAATGGGTCCGATCCAGTTTCCTTTTATTTTCAGGATTCTGTTTAGTAAAGTCCTTTCCTCACTCCGTTTGCTATCTTGAAACATACTTATAATATATGTAACATCGAATGGGATTTAATTCTTTGAAATTGGTCCAGTCATTTTTGAGAAAACGTTAACTCGGAGTATTTTCAAAAAGCAAATTTTCAGAAATCAAAAATTTTTATAATTGAACCAGTTTCCGTAGGACTTTAATGGTTTGGTATGTTTATTAAGACCAAGTACTCTATCGTTATATCGAGTAAATCGTCTAATTTTAATTTTAATTAACGTCAAAAAAACTACTCATTTTCTCAAACTTTGATTTTTTAAAATTAAACTACTTGTCGTAAGGTAATATTTTAGTATGTTCTATAAGACCATGATATATATCGCCAAAAAAAGTTTCATAAAAATCGGCTTAAATTTTTTTTTCAACAGTTAATTACAACAAAACGACTCGGTAGATTTTCACCTAAAACTAATCAGTTTCATTCTCAACTAATACCTTTCGAACAGTTTTTCTGTTTCAATCGATTTTTTGAAATCGATTCGGCAGTGTGAGCTTAAATGTGGACGAAAAGTTCAACACTTTTTTCCAAAACACAAAGAAACGGCTCGGCAGATCGTCGCACAAAACTAACAAACAATAATCCGCATTGAGATACATGAAATGGCTTTTTTTTAATTTCTGAAATCAGTTCAGGCGTTTTTGAGCAAACGTCGATGTAAAGTCTAATTTTGACAAATGCCAAAAGAACGATACTAATTTTTGCAAACTTTGAAAAATTTTTAAAATTAAACGACAAGTCGGTACGTAATATATTAGTATGATCTACAAGACTATGATATCTATCGCCAAAAAAATCATAAATCGTCAAAAAATTTGTATTAAACTTTATTTCCCGATCTTTACCAAAAACTAATCAGCACGATTTCCAACCAATATCTATCGAACGGTTTTTGAATTTTCAAAATCGATTCGGAATTGCGGGCTAAAACGTGTTCGAAACCAAGAAACGGCTTGGCTGATTGTCGCACAAAACTCAGAAACGCTAGTCCTCAAAATGGCTTTTAAATTTTTGAAATGGGTCCAGCCGTTTTTGAGAAAACGATGATTTACGGCAAAAAATCTGTTCACATACACTTACACCCACACACGCACACACACATACATACTTTTTTTCAAATGTGGTCTCATTCGATTCAGAATGGCTTGAAACGTTGAGAAAACATAAAATTAGCGAATCGAATTTTTTGATGAAAACATAAACTTCTCCTTCGGAAAGTTAATTATTTCTGATAAAAAAATGGTCCGGCCGAACCCAGTCTTTCCTATTCAATTTTAAATATCTTTACTTTCAATACTTCAAATTTCATAAAAAATAGACATTCTATATTTCGGAAACGCGGAAAATATTAAAAATAGCATACTTGATAATATGTAATTGAAAATATGAAAAGGAAAATGAATAAATGAAAATGATTTTAGAATATATAGATTATTTATAAATTGTTATAGAAATACTTCATTTATTACACGGGGTGGTTACACGTGGAAAGTTTACAACCTCAAACCAATGCATATGCATAGTTATATCAGAAATTGTCAATGCTTCAAATGTGACATGATTGGTTTGTCATTGTAATTAGCATTTATAGATGAACCTTCGTTAGAGAAATGAAGTAATGGCTGATTAATAAATTCTATAATATTCGTTCACACAGTGGATTATGTTAAACAAAGCCTAAACAAATATTATTTTCGCAACTTAACTCATTATGTAATAATTGTGTTTGAAGAACTTCATGTAATTAAAATTAACATACATTCATTGACTGATGGTATTTTATTACTTGTTCGCTGGCGATATAACCTCATTCTTTAAACAGCTGTAATGTGTTTTGCTTAAAAAATATTTTCCATTTCAATAATTTCAAAGATTTATAGAAACTACGAATAATATAAAAATTTCAATAAACTCATACAATATTTCGTTTTGTCTTCACATCGTATTTAAGGACAATATTTTAATATTTCCACGCAGACAAATGTTCAAATTACTATTTAATTCAATTTTCTCCCCACAAACTGGTTAATTAACTAATTTATTGCTGATCAAAAAAAGATGCACGACTGAATACAGTCTCCCCTATTCAATTTAAAATATCTTTACTTTCAATACTTCAAATTTCATAGAAGAAAGACATTCTATATTCTGGAAACGCGGAAAATATTTAAAATAGCATACTTGATAATATATAATAAATAATTTTAGAATATATAGATCATTTATAAATTGTTATAGAAATATTTCATATATCACACGGGGTGGTTACACGTGGAAAGTTTACAACCTCAAACCAATGCATATGCATAGTTATATCGGAAATTGTCAATCCGCTTACGTACTTGCTGCGGGACATAAAACATGAATTCAACTATAAATAGCTATTACAAATAGCGCTCCTGGCAAATATGAGATAATTTTAAAAAATCCCAGTGGAGGATTTTCTAAAATTTTCTATTTCACTATGCATTCAATGGGAAAATTCAGAATTGGCTCCGTTGAACAAAAGGCGCCTAAGCGTCGTCGAGTATGCGCATAGTGGGCACTTGCCACTTGGTGGGGTTCGATGAAACGTTATCACGAAAGCATAAATCAGTTCGAAATTGTCCTACGACGAGAAAACTACAACCTGTACTAAAATATCATGTTGTTCACTAATTCCCGTGTCGATGTTTAAAAATTTTCCATCGATGTGTTTTGGTTTAATTACAAGAATTTGAAAAATAAAACACCGCGCGATGAACGACTCAGCAACGGTTGACGCGTACGGTTTTTCGTACGAAGACGACGAAGAACTAAGTCCTTGCGATATGGACAGTGTTAATTTTAATTGTTCCTTGGACGATTATTTATATTACATGTTAGGACCAAGACAATTACCTTTGGCTTATGCTATTCCGGTGACAGTTGCTTATACAGTGATTTTTTTTACCGGTGTCTTAGGAAATGCAGCAGTTTGTGTCGTGATTGCCAAACATCCTTCGATGCATACGGCTACCAATTATTATCTCTTCAGTTTGGCTGTGTCGGACTTGATGCTTCTTTTACTTGGTAAGTCTTTACTTGGTAATCATATTTATTATATTCAAAATAGAAGGCGTAGTTTTGATATTTTTTCTGAAATAATGTTACCAAAATTGACAAGGACACTTTTTGTGCCCTAAGATATTCCGGTCGTTTTGACGTACTCCAGATGATTTTAGGATACAATTTGTATGCCACGTTTCAAGATTGATTGATTTGGATGGTTCAAAAAAGAACGAAATTGTCTAAAATGAATTTTCTGCATACGCATATGACACATTATTTTTATATAGAACCTTTGAAAATATGCATAAATTGTTTTTCTAAATTCGAATTACGTGTGTCGGTAGGAGTGTTCCGTATCCATGTATAATTTTTTTCTAAAACCATTTTAAACAGGTGTTTTTTACTCTTCGATCATTACAGTTTTGTCTAGGAATTTAAAATTAGTTTATGTTCATGTTATTCTAAATCTTATTTAAAATAACTTGGTCATTATTTTATAAATAGTTAAGATTATATCATTATCAATAAAATATTGTTAATATTATAACGAATGGGAAAACAACTAATGAGTTGTAAATTAACCAAATTTATTAAATATCTTTGACTGGACAGTTGTGAAATAAAATAGAGATCAAAGAAAATTTAAATCTTTGCATTAATATAGCACGCATTTTATAAATTGCAAAAGTTTATGTTCATGTTATTCTAAATCTTATTTAAAATAACTTGGTCATTATTTTATAAATAGTTAAGATTATATCATTATCAATAAAATATTGTTAATATTATAACGAATGGGAAAACAACTAATGAGTTGTAAATTAACCAAATTTATTAAATATCTTTGACTGGACAGTTGTGAATAAAATAGAGATCAAAGAAAATTTAAATCTTTGCATTAATATAGCACGCATTTTATAAATTGCAAATTATTAAAAACTAAATGATTTTTAGAGTTATAATCGTTTTTTGATTCTTATTAATTATCATAAATTTCAAAGTATTTTTATTATTTATAATCTTGTCAATTTTATTTATTTTTTTAAACATTTTTCAAACAATTGAACATTCTCTAAGTATTCAATTTCCTCAGTAGAATTTTCTATTTCAAGTGCGATTTTAAAATATGTCGAGTTTAGTTCTTAACTTCTTAAGGAGAAACTTAAGGAGAAGTTTAGGTTTTCATTTGAAAATTCGCTCTGCTAATTTTACGTTTTCTTGACGTTCTAAATCTTTTTATGATGAAACAGTTGTTATCGTTAACAAATATCCTAAAATGATATAGGTTTTTGAAAAGTGCTGTATTTTTATCAAAGTTTAGAATATTAGATCTTAAAACTTCAAAATTATATTGTTACAATTTTGCTAATTCTCAATTCTTATTTATTAAGCCAACTGTTTACTCTTATCAGAAAGTTCATATTTTTTAGGAAGTAATGAACTAGCTTATTTTGGAATTATAATAAAAAAAAAATTGTCAAAATTATTTAAATATTATATATGAGACGTGTTACCTCTTCAAAGGTCGGAGACGGAATGATCATACAACTTGTCTTCGGGCAAAATGCCACTTACATACAGTTTTATTAGTATTCTGCTACAAGTATTAATGAAAGTGAAGTAATATTTAATATATATAGAAATAAAAGTGAAAAATATAAGGTAGCCTATGTCTAGATACATGTAGATGTGGATATGTAGAGTAGTGTAGATTTTTTTAGAATACAAATTAATTATGATTGAAATTTCTTAATTTTAATTTATTTATTAATATTATTTATCTAATACTTAGTAATTGAAAAAGTTTATAGACTGGTACAAGGGCATAAACTACCATTCAATTATGTTTGCATTATGTTGTATTGTCAAACGTGTGTTATAGTTGAACAATATAAACTCGAACAATATGAGTTTTGAGAAATTAACAAATTGGCGTAAAAAGTCTTAAGTCAACTTTTTGGTTCCTGTGTAATAATCGACATAACCAATAAAAATTCAAATTTAGCTAGTTAGATAGAATATTCACAACTCTTTTTTTCGTCAAATGTTTGCTCATCTCACAAAAATGCTAGCCATTTTTCCAAAATTTGTCATATTTTTAAAATTAAACTACTTGTTGATAGATGATATCATCTATCGTCACAAAAAGTTTCATAAAAGTCGTTGAATTTTTTGTTAACAATCGATTACAATGAATCTGCTTAGCCGATCTTTACCAAAACTAGTCAGCATAATTTCCAATTGATATATTTCGAACAGTTTTCGAATTTTTAAAATAGGTTCAGGATTTTTGGCAAAAACCTAGAGAAAATTTTTGTACCTTTCTGCAAATTCTAAAACTACTAATCAACGTAAATCTTTATCGAGTTACCATCGAGAATGGCTTTTTAAATTCTTGAAAATGGTGCAGTGTCGTTTCTGAGATAACTTCGAGAAAAGGTTAAAAATTTATTCACATACCCACACACACACATAAACACACTTTTTCTAACGATTCAGTATGACTTGAAACGTCGAGAAAACAATATTAGCAAGTCGGATTTTCTGACGAAGACATAAGCTGCTTCTTTGAAAAGTTGAACATTGGTTTCAAAGTGTTTATAACAATATTTATTATTCAGAACTATAACTTAAATTTTCAATTGTTAGAAGGTATTAAAACTTGCATTTACTTTTCCAAAGAACAAACAATTGAACTTTATATAAGTTTTATGAGAAATAGAAGTAATCAGAAATATAAGGTAAATAGAAACGCAAATTTCCACTTTTTGTGAAAGAAAACTCTTATTTCCATGTTTTATGAAATGAAATTACTTTTTACAAATACCCACTTTGCACAAGTGTATTATACTCACACACGCAAACACACGCACATATACAATTTTTGTCTAAGATATGCCAAAATGTTCAGAAATCTTTGAAACGTAAAGATATATAAAAATTTTCTTTTTCAATTTTTTTAACTCACCCTCACGTGTGAGTCGGGAATGTTACTGACTGAGCTATTCCGGCCACAAAACTTCATCGTCAAGTCGTTTATTATCAACTATCAGTTATAGTGGTAATAAATCGTTAAACATTAGTCAATAATTTAGTAACTTTTTTGTTTGATCATCTACAAATTGTTCATAAAGTATTGAACTAGTGGTGTATGGCATCTTGGAATTATAATGTATTTTGCTGCCGGAGCGGCGGCATCCAAATGGAAAGGGTTAAAGTATATCAGTGAGATTTAGAACTTTAGCCAGAATTAAAATTTAAATCTAAATCATTCTCGATGTACAAAAAAAATTTTTTTTGACGTTTTTTGAATAATTCAAATCGTATGCTTAGTTCTCTTAAACACTGCAATTTTTTGTACATTTACCTCCGTATCTTCGAAACGGCTGACCTGCTTTTACCAAAAACTAATCACCAGTTCTCCCAATCATTACCAATTGAACGTTTTATGGATCATTCAAATCGGATACTCCGTTCTCTCAAAAAATCGATTTTTATTTTCTGCACTCTTTGCTCCGTATCTCCGTAACGGCTGGACCTGCCTTTGCCAAAAACTAATCAGCATACCTTCATATGGATAGAAATCGAATTTTTTTTTAACCATTCAAATCGATTGATCCGTGCGTCCGAAAACGTGGACGAAAGTATGCGGACACACAAAACACACACACGCACACACCCATTTTTCTGAAGTGTGCTAAAATGTTCAGAAACTTCTGAAAGGTGAAGATATGCAAAAATTTTCATTTTCGGCCCATTACTATAACTTACCGTACGGTAGAGTTAAAAGTAAAGAATAAAATAGAAATATATGTTAACTCAAATTGTCACTAAAGTTTATTTTTTCGTTGCTGTGCTGTTAAAAAGGTATGTCAGTCTGGTTTAAATAATTATTTTAAAATTACTGACTATGTGTGAAGAGTACATTAATGATGGATAAATTAAAAGCAGTTTTTTGTAATTATTATTTTTTAATTTACCGGCGATGAGAACTACGTTCTTTAAGCTGTTTTTGTTGTACATCTTAACCTAGTATTTTTCTCGAGAGTCAACCCAGTTATTCAATCTCATTTTTATGTGTAGACCAGTGTTTCCCAACGTGGGGCGCACGCCTCACCGGGGGGCAATTTGAGAATTTTGCTGATTTAAAAAAATTAGCTTGAATTTGAATATTTCTCGTTACTTTATAATAAAATTACAACTACCCATTATAATCTGAAAATGATTATGCGATAAACTGCTTATATAAAACTAAACATAATGAAAAATAATGTTGCGCAATGCAAAATTTCTTTAGATTCAAATAGCCCGTCACTAATTATTAAAAACTTCTATATTCCAATTTATGAAAAAATGTTTCTGAGCTAAGTAGATTCGTTGAGAAATGGCTTGGAAGAAACTAAAACCAAATGCCCAAATGTAATCATATGTACAAAAATTTGCTATAATTTATTGACAAAAAGAAAAAGCTTAGTAAGTTACAACCTAATATAAAATCTTTATTTCAGCTTAAGTATTGCATTAAATAAATTTCGAAAAAACAGTCCATAATTAGATAAGTAAAAAGTATTTCATTTATTAAATAAAACTAGTTTAAAATTTTCGTTTTTTGGCTTTTCCGAAATTTTACTTATGATGTTTAATAACAATTTAATAGCAATATCATCTTAAGAGTTATCATTCACATTTTATTAGAAACAAAAAAAAATGTATGGGGGGGGCATAACGTTTTTGTGAACTTCAAGGTGGGGCGGCGCCCAAAAAAGGTTGGGAATAACTGGTGTAGACTATGTTATATATGTATATAGAATATACCCAGCGTCAAGCAGGGCTTAAATAAGGTTTGCGGGTAAAAAGATCCATCGCTGATATCTCAAAAACTAGTGAAGTTAAGAATTTTTTAACAACAATATTTGAAAGTAGGGGGAAAAATATATATAACCATCTATTACCTTGATTCTTGCGACGTTGATTTCGGGAGAAAAACAAACAAACAAACAAAAAGTATTTTCTTTCGTTGT